TTTTTAGGATCCTTTGATAAATAGAAAGTTGAAAGAACATAATTTTTTGCTATATACATGTCTTCACTGTAACAATTTAATGTGTCCTTGCTGAATAAAAGTATACATTTCTATAAAAAAAAATCTTGCTGACCCAAACCGTTTGTATAGTAGTGTTTGAGGAATAAAAGTGCTGCTTGTCTTGGCAGGTAGAGATCTTGATTAAACAGATGGTTTTCAATGGGTATGTTGATAAATATGCTGCAGTTTTCCAGCTGTAACGTTTATCTCATGGTCTTGGATAGAACAGTGGCCCTCATGCTTTGAAGTGTCAATCATTGTTGCTAAGGAAATTCAAACAAACCAAGTAGTTAAACATCAAGCTCCACCTCCACACCTTTCAGCTGTGACCCTCCCCCAAAACACACACACACACACACACACACACACACACACACACACACACAGACAGACAGAGAGTCACTCAAGCATTACTAATGTGGCTCTCTGGAGAACTACATACAAACAGTTACGAATTCTCCACAGCTTTTGAACTGCAGTAGATCAGGAACCACTTCAAAACGTGCCTTGATCAGAAGGTGTGGTCTTTTCAGGTCAGAGTAATAAAACAAGCTTTATGTCTCAAATGACATTTAATAACACTCAGTTTCCACACCCAGAAGGACAATTTATAATATTGCATTCTTAATGACTCAGGTTTATTGTTGACATTATATTGCGCTTATGATATTCATGAAATCTTGATACTCATGGCAATGGACTACAATTTCTGTTTGTTATTTCTTCTTAGCACTTTCCAGTTTAGCTATATGTATTTAAACCAAACGTGTTTATACAGGCTGATCTTGCCAAGCCTTTTCTCACATGTAAAAACGAAGTGGGTTCAGTATTGTCATAATCAGGTGTCAGTGAGGGACACCAGTATCAGATGTCACTATTGAGTGTTGCTGTTCCATGTGCTTGAAAACCGTCACACCACAACAAAAACAGGTATTTACTTGATGCTGTGCAGTTTTCAATATAGTACGATCAAGTTTTTGCTCACACAATTGGCAAGCGACCGCATTGAACTTGGTCATATGGTATATGTTTCCGTGCTTCCTTAGCAAGTCTGAATAATGCCTGAAACCCACAAAAATACTGCCCTACCCATATTCTAAACCTGTTTATTTGGCTGTTCATACTAGGAGTGGGTGGTGTGGCCAACTTAGAAGAATTTGTTTCTTCATTTAAACAGATTTGGTGAAATTTAGCATTATATCACTTGCTCACCAGTGGATCCTCTACAGTGAATGGGAGTTCAAACAGCTGATAAAAACATCACAATAATCCACAAGACGTCTTGTGGCGCCAAAAGCTGCATGCTTCTAAGAAACAATTACATCATTAAGATGTTTTTAACTTTAAACCATTGCATCCATCCACAAGTCTATCTATAAAATTGCTTTCTCCAGTGAAAAAGTAGTCAGAGAGAGAAATATGCACCATCTACAAGCAAATCAACAGTCCAAAACAGTTTGAAACAAATACAGCTGTGGATGAGAGGACAACAAGGGGTGGACTTTTTTCCACTTGAAGAAATGTTGTTATGGATACTTAAAACACCTTTATAAAGGATTTGTTTCTTACAAACACACAGCTTTTCACTTCACAAGATGTCAGTAGATGGATTGGAGTCGTGTGGATTGTGATGTTTTTATCAGCTGTTTGGACTCTCATTCTGACGGCACCCATTCACTGCAGAGGATCCATTGGTGAGCAAGTGATGCAATGCTAAATTTCTCAAAATTTGCTCTGATGAAAAACAAATTCATTTACATCTTGGATAGCCTGAGAGTGAGTATATTTTCAGCAAATTTTCATTTTATGGATGAACTATTCCTTTAATAACACAGCACCCTCAACAATAAATAGTTTAATTACCCACCTAAATTTTAATAGCATTTTTAACTTTAATTTAAGTTTTGCCTTTGTTTTTCGACTAAATGAAAACTTTCAATTTGGTTTGGTTAAAAAATCATTTAAATGCGTCATTATTAATACAACATACTTCCATGTTTGATTAGCCCCCCCCCCCTCTCCTTTATTAAACCTGCAATGTGTATAACATGCTATAGTAGCACATAGTGTTATAGCAGAATCTCTTTATTGCTCTGTTTCATTATATGAATTTTGCATTGTTTTTCCTGTTGTCAGATCAAACTCGAGGCTCATTTTTGGGTTGCCGCCCACTCACTGAGAACAACTGTCATATTGTATCATATCATATCTCATATCATATCATATATCAGAAACCACTAGGGTTTATAATCATTCATATTCAACTATCTTACTATCTAGAATTTGATTTAGACTCATACATGTATATTGTGGTCTTTTGTATGAAATTACTCATAGTGTGTGCATAATTACTCTGCTTTGTTAAAAAAAGACAGGCGTATTTGATATGGAAATACATTTTAATACAGAGTTTGTTATATCACTTGGGGGCAAAAAAGATTAAAAACCAAAACAATAGCAGCTGCTAGCAACATTTTAGACTTCCGCTTATTAAATCTTCACACCTGAGGCACTAAAGCAGCGCTGATTATTTCTACTCTACCAAGGCTAGCACATGTTATTGCCTGTTTAAAACATTGACTGTGCTGTATTTTGCTGCACAAAAGTCCATAGGAAATTGCTGATCATCTGGGGTTTACCTAAACCCAAAGCCCTCATAATCCTCTTAGGCCTCCATTCAGAGACTTGACACATAATAATTATCTCCTAATTCAGATAAGCTGCCCTGATTATTAGGTCAGATCAAATTATTATAATTTGTCATTTTGCAGATGCATGTAATTCGAAAAGGCCTTAAAGACATTAATTGCAGGGTCCTCATGGATCATCATGCTTTGCTTGAGGGTCAAACATGCTGGTAGGTTTTTCAGTAATTCTCTAGTGCTCAAACTTGAGATTTAACTCCTATCCTTTTGCAATAAATTTTGAAATAATGTAATTACAATTTTAATTATTTTCTATTTTCAGTTATTTTAAAATGTAATTTATTCCCGTGATGCAAAGCTGAATTTATCACCATTACTCCAGTCTTCAGCGTCACATGATCCTTTAGAAATCATTCTAATATGCTGATTTGCTACTAAAGAAACATTTCTCATTATTATCAATGTTGAAAATAATTAATAATTAATTAATAACAGCTTTGCCTCAGTCAGTGTATATAATGCCCATGCTGTAGGATAAAACTCAGTTTGTCTCCAGGTCTGCTTATTTCCTTCCGTCCTTATGAAGTCAGTATTGTTCATTATGAATATGCAGGTGTCAGAGAAAGAGGTCTCCTTAACCATTTCAGCTGGGAGGAAATCTATATTTGATCTTTGCTCTTGTCACATCAGCAAAGTGTTTCAGTGCCTGTGTGTGATGATACAACTTCCCCTTTTAAATTGTTGCTGCATGTCATTGCTCTTTGTGCAATAGAACATTATGACAGGAAGTTGTAAGGAAGCCACACCTCAAGGTGGGAAGCCATGTTTCTCCTTTGATGTAGATGAACTCATGCATCGCCAAGTATTTATAGTATAAGATTATGTATATATCATCTTACAGCAGGTGAATTTAATTGAAATCTTAGACAACTTAAAGGCAGTTTCACTGGTCATTACTGCATTCAGGTTCAGCCAGGTGTTTTGCTCTCATTCTGTATGGATAAGAATGGTGTATTTGATCATGCACAGCGCACACATACACATTAGATATAGGATAAAATATATTTTAAGATGAAGTATCCACAACTACCCCCCCCCCATTTTTGTTCCACAGTTTTTTATTTCATTCTTTTTTTTTTTTACATTTTTTCACATTACATTTCACTAGAATGTATTCTAGTACGCAAGTTATGGATAAATCTTAAATTGTGTGTGAAAAATACCCAGATTTTGCATGCAAATGTGTGCATATTCATTTGCATTCAATTCAAGTTAATTTCTATAGTGCTTTTAACAATGCATATTGTTTCAAAGCAGCTATAGAAAATGCTTGTTTCAATGTTCCAGTTAATATGATTATAATATTTTAGTAAATATGAATGGTTAATGAGACCCATTGTCTTGTTTTTAAGTAAAATGTCTACGTATCTATTTGGACTTAAAGCAAGATGCATTTAGTTTAGAAGCAAAACTAATGCGTTCTTAAATGAAATTTCTTATGCATTGGCAATTTTTTTTTCTTGTTTTTAGGATAAACCTTACACAACTTTGTTAGATTTATGCTTACAAAAAAATAAATAAATGCGCAAATTTGGTAAAGGTGCATTTTCTGAAAACAACTTATCTTACACAATTACGCCTCTCAAGTAAAGTGCCGATATGTTTTCTCTTCGAAAACAAGAGAAGTATGTTGAAAACAAAGTAATTTGCATTGCAAAATCAGATAATGATAAAGTAATTTGCATTGCAAAATCAAAATCAGATTTCTTTTCATTTATTGTAACATTATTTTCATGTAAATTAAGCACACTTCCATACCAACTTATGATTAACGTAATGCATCAGGATGTTTTTGTAATTCAAAATTTTCCTAATATAATGTCCTGTCTCTTTCTTTTGGTTTTTGGAGTGAAATATGACCATCATTTTGTCATGTTTCGTGAGATTCACCCATGAACTTATTCTTCCCTTAAAACATTTAAATGCATCACTTTTCTGCTAATTACAGGCCTGTGAGTTAGCAGTGGATTTGAGCGTGTCTTGCACTCACTGAGACTGAAGGTGTGAGTCACACGCATGAATATCTTTTAGGCCTGAAGTGCCATTTATCAAACAGCAGTTATATTGTCAGTAGAGGTGCTAATTTGAATTGGTTCCACAGTTCCTGAGGCTATTTTCATGCTCAAACTTATCAAGTTATAAACCTTTTATAATTGGGCTGAAAGCAGCATCAGTATTCTGGTTGATCTGATTTGCATTGACATACTGTTTTTTTTTTTTTTTTTATCTTTTCAGTGTCCAGAGTCATGAAACTTAGTCCTTGTCAAGCCGCATTATATGTAAGTAACCTCTATGCTTATTTTGCATTTCTCTTTATTTGCTCAGTCAAATCTTTTATGGATGGAGATGCATTTTTTTTCAACTAGACAGAATCGTGTGTGTTTAAAGGGTTAGTTCACCCAAAAATTCTGTCATTAATTACTCACCCTCATGTTGTTCCAAACCCGTAAGACCTAAATTAATCTTCGGAACACAAATTAAGATATTTTTGATGAAATCTGAGAGCTCTCTGACTAGGGATGCACCGAATGTTCGGCAACCGAAATTGCTCTTTCGGTGTTCGGCCAAATAAATTGTACCGAACAATGATATGACGTGATCAAATAGCAACCAGCGCAGAGTGAGATGCGCGCACTCTTTATTATGCAGCACACACGTCAGCAGTGTGGAAGCATTTAAACTGTGGGAAAAACACGCACAAATCATTACAAGCACCGACAGCGAGAGACTGTTTAGGACTGCATCGCATGTCTTCAATGAGAAGAGGAAGGGGTGATTGTTGCTGGTTACTGTATGATGATTGAAATCGCGAAATGGCCTTAAACAATTAGTAAATAAACTACAGAACGTTATGTTTTCTAATACACAGCGCTGCACGAGCTCGTGGCGCTAGGTCCAAAGCGCGAGGAAAATCTGCGCTGATACAGTCGTCAGTGGCTCAGTCACATTTTTATGAATTTTTACAAGGCATGTGACAATGCGATACGTACGACATATTCGTAATGAGACGCATTTATAAAACTGTTGTCAACAAAAATAAGCGTTGAGGTCTTCCTGCGCGTTTCCGCCAAAATAAAAGTTGAGAAAAAGCAAGAACTCTTATCAACATTCATAAATGTTAGTATTGTAATTTTACTGTTCTGTAAAATAAAATAAAAAAGTAAGACAATAATAATGATAATAATCATTAAAACAGCTCTGTTAATACATTTATTATAACATTCACACACAGTGTTCAGATTAGGATCTGTAATATTTTCTAATTTTTTAAAAGAAGTCTCTTCTCAGCAAGGCTGCTTTTAATTGCAGTACAAAAAAAAAAATGCATGCCTGATTCAAGAATGGGGTCTGATGGCCAAAAAATATTATTTGACTAACTTATTCATTTTAAGTTAAATTGTGCTTTGTTGGTATAGTGTCTGCTAGAATGTTAAAAATGTTCAGTGTTAAATATTTTTAAATTGTTGTTTTGTAATTGATTTTTTTTTTCTTTGAAAAGCAAAAGACAAAACAGTAAAAAAAGCACATTTTGGCTTTTTAATTTATGCAATGGTGAAAAAAAAATTGGCCAAAATACATGGGGAAAAAAACTCCGTGTTCGGCCTTCGGCCCAGTGTTTAATTTTGTTCGGCTACCAAGAATTTTCATTTCGGTGCATCCCTATCTCTGACCCCCCCATAGACCACAAAGATGTCCTATGGTACGATTGACAGATAAAATGTAAGAAATCAAGATGCTCAAACAAATAGAACAAACAGATCAATTAACAGATGTCTCGCTTAAAGTTGTCTCTGCACATAAAGCTGAAATACAAGAAAGTATTCTAACACGTACATTTTCTGCAATAATATAAGCAGAACCCAGTTAAAAACAATTTGGCTTCGTCGCCAGTCTGCTCAAAGTCTGCAGTCCTATCAGTCGATCTTGAAACATCAATAAAATTCTCATTCAGGATAACGGTGAGCCCTGATTGAATGCTTCCTAGGGAATACGGCTAATCTAGATCCGAAGGGGAATATGACTGTCAGCGCCTTACAAGAACAGAAAGTGAGTCGAGCAGCGGGAAGGATGTATGACCGGTATTGGGTTACTATCACAAGAAGCCCATCTGATGTACGGCGTACTGTCAACAAAGAGAAGGGATTTTCCCTCCACTGCTGTGAAATCCGACGAGGGTTCAAAGACACTTATCTTTGTGTTAATGTCTGTAATTAACTGCTGAAACGATATTAGATTATCCAAAGGACTGAGATGAATGGATACAATGGTGATAGTGCTAGAGGACGGTTTTGAGCACAGATGTATGTGTGACACCCCTTATTGTGTCTTTATTCCCACAGACGTCTTTCCTCTCCTGAAATAATTTCAGGAGTCAGTATGCAGCTCAGATTTCTTACATTTTATCTGATTGTCAATCGTACCATAGGACAGCCTCCACCGAAACTCAAATATCCATTCTGTTGCTGTAACGCAAAGGACTTTGCCATGAACCAAAGGTTTTTAATGGTTCTTTCAGCAAAGAACACTCTACTTATCAATTCTACTTTATCGGTTTCTTGAGTTGATTATGTCATGGTTCACTGGAGATTTATGTTCTTAGAAGTTTAAAAAGCTTTTAAGATCGGCACATTCGTATCTGCATTCTTTAACCATGAAAAACTGTTACAGTGGTGCTTTTTACAGTATTTCTTCAAAGTCACCATTAAATCCCAATGGCACTTAATGATGTTTTTGAAAGAAGTCTCTTATGCTCTCCAGGGCTGTATTTATGTGATCAAAAATACAGTAAAAACAGTAATATTATGAAATATTATTACAATTTAAAATAACTGTTTTCCATTTAAATATATTTTAAGATGGAATTTATTCATGTGATGCAAAGCTGAATTTTCAGCATCATAACTCCAGTCTTAGAAATCGTTCTAATATGATGGTTTTCTGCGCAAGAAACATTTATTATATTATTATCAGGGTTGAAAATCGCTGAGCTACTGCTTAATGTTTTTGTGGAAACTGTGATCCATTTTCAGGATTCGTTGACAAATAACATTTTTAAAAGAACAGCATTTATTTGAAATAGAAACCTTTTGTTACTTTATAAATACCTTTTTCTTTGGTGAATTTAATGAATAGAAGTTTTAGAAATAGAAAAAATTAAAATTAATAAATAGATTTTGTTTTTCATAATTCCATTTGATATTTTCCTGCGCCATTGTCCTATTTAAATAGGAAATACATTTTGATTCTAATTATAACCTTTATTTGTAAGAATGCATGTCTTACAATTTATATTTATAAGTCACAGTAAAAATTCATAATGGCTTTTGCAGTGGTGGTTCCATTGGCCACTGAGCAAAACTGTGAACATGTTGTTTGAATATTATTTATATAGATGTTAATTTGTGAAAGTGTGACAGGAGGAGGGGAGCTTCTCATGTAGAACATCAGGGTGTGTGCTGTTAAATTCTCACTGCTATCTGTGCCAATCTGTGCAGACCAACACAAGTGTGATATCCTGTTGTAACCACAACTTCAGTTATTTCTCATTGTGTTTGACTCTGAGTTCTTGGGTTAAAAATATATGAAAGGTTCCATTTAAAAGCAAGGAAAGTATACTTTTTGCAAACCTTTCACATTCATCAAGTGCCTCTGTCTAATAAATCATATAGAAATTATTCATTTGTTTTTTTCAAACTGTGGATTAATGGTCAAGTTTGCTGAAAATGCAGAATATGAACATGTCATCCAATGAAAAGGTCTTGGAACAGGTGGAAGCTTGGATCAGTTTGGCATTTTGTTTGTGCTTTTGCCCAATAATATATTCAATTCTTATTCAGAAACACAATTCTCTCTTTTCCTGTGTCAGGGCAAGTGTGTGCTAACAGTTCAGCTCTGTGATGAAGGAGAACAGGGGGAGGTGCAGTTCTTCCTGTTGTTCACTGGCTCTGCTCAGAGACATCTTACCAGCACACTAAAGGTCAACCATGCCACCCTTCAGGCTGTGTGTCCAGGTGAGCGCATTACTGGGCCCTTAGATCTGTGACGCATCCCAACCATGACCTCTCAACCTTTTTTCTGTTAAGGAAATTTTTGGTACACACATCTCCTAAAACAGAGTTTATCGAATTGGGGTTCATGAGGGAACTGCACGGGAAAAAAAAAAATATAATATTTAATTATTTCTCTGCATGTCAAACGACATTGAAATGCAAATGTGTTGTTGAATTATTGAACTTGAAATCTCAGGACATGCTTTTAAGACAAAAGCTGGTGGGTCAATATTGTAAAAACACTTTACAAAAAAATCAAGCTATAAATTACTTCATTTTCTCTGCATGGACAGGGACGAGATAAAGTATTTTAGCATTGAAAAATGACACACACCGCATTTCAGATGGATTAAGAAATTAAGTTTCACATTAACTTATTGCCAAATATTGAAGTTGAGGAATGTGGTTGTTCACTGTGAGTTCTAGTGATGAATGTTTAACTGTCCATGTTCTTCTGACTGTGTATTTAGGGACTTTTTCACTTTTTTTTGTTTACTCAGTTGGGGGAAGGTGAATTGGGTGAACATGCTGCCCTCTGTCCTCTTTTTAAGAAATGACTTTTGACAGAGAAAAATGAGCACTCTGTACAGTTTACTCACTTAGCTCATGTACATATACATAATCTGTGTTTTAAGCTATAGGTTCCTATCAAAGATCATGTTATATGAATTAACCCTCATGCAAGTCCTCACTGCGGACAGTGTTTGTCTTGGGCCAAACAGAGATGGCAGCACTTGTTCCTGTCAACAAAACCTGTTTGCTTGGTGATCCTATTAAGGACTCAGGTGGATTGAGTCTGAATGAACACGGTGTAGCTCAGTCCCATAGAGAGAGTTCAATGGAGAAATTGATCTGCTATTTCTGTGGCATATTTTTAAGCATATCTTTAGTCTATAAGTCTTCTCTTATCTTATTGTTTGAGTGATATGAGTGTTTATTTAGGGCTGTTTGGTCACTGAAGTGAACCCGCTCTCTATGGAGATGTTCAGTCAGCATGAATGAATGATGTGGAGAGCAGTAATGCGTAAGTCTTGTGTTTCAGTCATTATGTTCAGTGTCAGATGTAATGCCTCAGCAGTCAGTGAAGGGGATGATCCGCTGATGGAGGGAGATTATAGGGAGAGAGAGACCGTGTTTGGCACTTGTGAAACTAGTTTTTGTGTTTATATATGGCTTTTGCATTGAAGTCAGCGTGAAAATTGACCTTTTACTTGATTATACCAGGAGTAGTTCACCTAAAAATGAAAATTTTCTGCAATTTTACTCGCTCTCAGCTAGGGCTGCACGATTAATCGAATGCGATTGTCATGCGCATTTTGTTAACAAAGCCGGTTCTGTAATCAGCAAGAAATCATCATCACGTGCTTTCAGATGGAGCAGAATTTACTACACATAGCCGTAGTTCACTGACAAGTTACGCAAAAAAATCGTATTTTAGCAGCGATAAAGGCATTGCATTATAAATATACTTTATTTTAATGAAAATTATAATAATAAGAACTCCGATAAACCGTATGTTGCCGTAGTCGTGTGTTTATTAGTCACGTTGTATCAATGAAAGCAGTTGAATCTTCTGTTTATTCAGTTGCAGCGATAGGCATTTTCTGGGTTTCTTCTGCGAGGCGTATTTGGAGTTTCAGCGCGAGAGCGCCCTCTGGTCTTTGGATGGAGATTTACTGCTGATCACAGAACCGTGCTTCACTGAAAGATACGCATGACAATCGCAGCTTCTGTCGA